TACAAATGTGCTTTATACAATTGATGTATGTATGGATTGTGATGAGTTGTATGAGCCCCCAATAAAATGATATTTTTTAAAAGAAAAGAAAATGGTACACTGGTACAGATAAGAGCTGGAAACCCGGAATCCAGGACAAATGATCAATCCCTTCAGGACCAGCGGTGAGAGTGGCGATACCGGGAGGTTGGAGGGAAGGTCGGGTAGGAAGGGGGAACCAATCACAAGGATCTACATATAACCTCTCTGGGGGGCGGACAACAGAAAAGTGGGTGAAGGGAGACATCGGACAGTGTAAGACATGACAAAATAATAATAATTTATAAATTATCAAGGCTGAGGGAGGGATGGGGGTGGAGAGGGAGGGGGAAAATGAGCTGAAACCAAGGACTCAAGTAGAAAATGGTTTGAGAATGATGATGGCAACATAGGTACAAATATGCTTGACACAATGGATGGATGGATGGATTGTGATAAGAGATGTACAAGCCCCCATAAAATGATTTTTTTAAAAAGAAAATGGTATTTCTAGAAATAACATGCATTTAGTGAGCTATCAATACCAAATAGAGTATGCTTGATCCTTTTCAAAATGGTGTCCAACAGCCCTAAGGCTCCTTGTCTTGACCTTCATAGGGTTTCCAGCTTCACCTCAATGACCTTCCAAATGTTCAGAAAATTCAAAAGAGGGAAACTGGAGAGGCCAAATGTACTGCCCACCCCCCTTTTTTTTTTGAGACTCAGCCCTTGGTTGATTGGGGTCCTGGACACTGTTTTTGGTTTTGTTTGGGGGGGGGGGGGCTGAGGGGGTGGAGGGTGAGGGGGGGGGGGCCTTCAAAAATAGTTGAATACTACAGTCATTGAAAAACACAGTTAATGTCCATGATTTGGGGATTCTCTATTATTCGCTCCTCCCTGCCAGAGTCCCTTCCGAGTGATAGCAATCCTCTGGGACAGGGTAGAACCGCCCCTGTGCGTTTCTGAGACAGTCACTCTTCACAGGAGTAGAACCCTTATCTTTCTCACTCTGCGGGGCTAGTTGTCGCAACCTGCTGACCTCACCGTCCTTAGTAGTAGGCGTCCTTGGGGAAATCTGCTGCACAAGATCTCTGTACAGTGTGCAAGTGCCAATGGGTCACTTTTGGGGACCAAGGTGAGCCTACCCAAGCCAAGGTATTTTCTCTCTCCTGCCCCCTCCCCCTCCACTCTCTCTCACACTCCTTTATGTCCATCCCCTGCCTCCCTCCTTTCTTCTCTTTAATTTTATTATTCTGAATTAGTTGAAGGTTTTTTGGTGGTGTTTTTGTTTTTACATTTCTGTCGCTATGGATAAAAATGAGCATTTTTTCAAAAATCTTTTTTTTGGGGGGGCTCTTTCAGCTCTTTTTATTGGGGGATCTTACAGCTCTTATAACAACCCATACATCAATTATATCAAGCATATTTGTACATATGTTGCCATCACCATTTTCTAGACATTTACTTTTTATTGAACCCTTGGTATGAGCTCTTTTTTACCTCTCTCCACCCGCCACCCTTGTGACCCCTTGTTAAATTATAATTATTATTTACATGTCTTACACGGCCCGGTCTCCCTTCCCCAATGGTTTCTGTTATTCATCCCCCTAGTTCTCTATAATATGCTTTGGTTGTGGTTTTCTGATGCCTGTTACCCAGTCCCGCCTCATGACTGCACAGGATGGCTTCCTCCGTGAGTCGAAGGTTAACCAAGCAGATCATCAGTTTTACATTAACCAACTCACCAAATCTCCCAGTCTCCATCACGTTGTGCCCATCTCCCTCTTGTTGTCCCTTTTACCCAAGCAAATATCTATCTGCCCTGTAGCCGGTGACTTTCCCTCCCCTCCCTCCCACTCCCACCCCTGTAGCCATCAGTCTGCTTGATTGAGTGTGAAAACCTGTGTGTGTGTGTGTGTGTGTGTGTGTATTTATATATAAGTAGTCGCCTCATAAAATATTTATTCTTTTGTGATTGACTAATTTCACTCAGTGTAATGCCTTCTTGGCTTATCCAAATCACAAGAAGAGTCTCACAGATTCATTGTTCAACTTTGCATTATTCGTATTCTATTGTGTGTATGGACCGAATATCCATTCTTCCACCAATGGGCCTTTAGGTTGTCTGTCATTTTGTGTTGTGCATAGTGCTGCCATGAACATGGGTGGGCATACAAGGGATACAACAGAAAAATGGATTTTTTTCCAAAGCTATGTATTTAAATGTTTTTACAAAACAACTTTATCACCTGCAAAGTACTCTCCATTACTCTTAATACATTTGTGAAATCCGCGATTCCATTCTTGGAAGCATTTTTCAGACCCGTCTGTTTGGATGGTGGCAGTACCTCCCTCACTTTTTTCTTCATCTTCACATCGCTTTCTTTTCATGTCCCTCTTCATTTGAGGAAACAAGTTGCATGGAGCAAGGTCAGGTGTGTAAGGTGTGTGGGGCAAAAGAGGCGTGCAGTTTTTTGCCAAAAACTGGCGCACTAAGATGGTTGCGTGAGCAAGTGCCTTGTTGTGGTGAAAAAGCCAGTCCCCTGCATGCCACAAATCAGGCCTTTTTTGTCACACACTGTTAAGCTATCTTTTCAGAACCTCTAAATAGAAAGCTTGATTAACAGTCAAATGATTTTTTTAAAATCATCATCAATTTCACTATACTTGTGGATGTACACATTTGAATTGGTATATGCCCTGTGTCTATTCTCAACAAAATTAGACAACATTTTTAAATAAATGAAATGTAGGGGAGAAAACCATCTTAAGCATGCTTAGTCCCTGAAGAGACCCTATGTGGTTGACCAGAAACAGCTTGTCTCTCCACTGAAGTCACTGACCAAAGCAAAAAAACGATTGCAAAGGTGTTTCAGAGAATATGCTTATTTTCCTAAAAAATTATAACCATTTTTATTAGTGTGGAATGATTACAAGGTGGAGGCTCATTAGAGGTTTATCAAATATATTATTGTTTTGAGTTACTTGATTCACTTTCCCCACGTTAAGTTGAGCAGCTAACTCTGAGCTCTTTGGCCCACGCGGGAGGAGGTGAGGAACAGCCTGCTCTCTTAGCTGCCACCTGCTTCTGGAAAGGACGCTGAAGAACTTGCTGGAGAAAGCGGATCTAACAAACCATTTAAGCAAGCAAATGTGAATTTCCTTAAGATTGGTGTTATTTTCCTAAAATATATCCGTTTTCAAATGTTTGGAATTCCGATTCATTTCTAAAGTGGTAAACTTATTGTCAAGTGGTTTTTAAATGTTTATACATTTTAAGCAGGTTTTTTTTCAGACAGAATCCACACATCATATAATTCAATAGTTCAATCATGTCATAAAAGGTGTACAATCATTACCACAATCTAGTTTCAAACATTTTCTTATTTCTTATATTTCTTATTTAGGTCCCCATGCCCCCACAACCTCCCCTGCCATGCCCCTAAGGAACCATCAATCCAGTTACTATTTCTATAGATTCATCCATCCAGTATTTCATATGCCAAAAAACATACAAAAACAACAAAAAAAATAGAAAAGCTCATCGCAATGAACAAATATAGTAAAACCTCAGTTGCAAAGAAAGTGGGCGCCGGATCTGATCCCACCACACTAAGGCAAAACACTAAGGGTGTGCAACAGAACAGCAAGGGGAACAGAGCAACGAAGTCCCCAAGAAATACCAAAAATAAATTTTGGGGCCAGGGCTTGGCACCCCATCAGATTCGACCGGAAAACACTCCTAAAGGCAACAGACAGTCCTTGAATTAACTATAGGCTTTTCTTTTTTGTTGTTGTTGTGTTGTGGATTTGTTTTGTTTTGTTTTGTCATTGGCTTTTTGTTGTTGTTGTTTTATTTTCTTTTGTTGCTTTCTTTTACTTTGTCTTGTTTTTGTACATGTAATTATCTCCACAGGTTTGTCTAAATATGATAGGCTGGATAAACAATCTGGAGGAGAAAACAATGGGACCGAC